TCGTTTGCAATTATATTTGTGTTCGGTGAATTTAACGCTCAGCATGACAAGTGGATTAAACAATGCGTCACTGTTCGTACTTGTATCCAACCCCCGGAAACACAACATTATGTTGCAGTCTGCGCCAATTGCAGCAGCCAGTACTTTTTGCGATCGTCAGACAAACGTTTGTCTGGCGATCGAAAAAGCGTGAAACCCAGGGTCACAAACTCACATCGTTCCAACGGAAAATATATATATATATATATATATATATATATATATGAAATATAGGCCAAATGCTTGAGTCACCTTTTGATTTCGAAGAATACCCAAAAGACTTTGCGTACCTTTTCAAAACTAATATATCTTATCTCTACAAGCCAGTGGGCCTTTTTTTTTTAAGTGAGTTACCGTAGGGAAAAATAATATTATTAACGAATTCAGCGCATTACTACATAGAGTTTTTTCTTTTTTGCCCGATCTACCTGATTATTTTATTGGTGTTGAATATTTTAAGTATCCACCACAATTCTAAAAAATAGTTCCAGTATTTTAGCTTAGACTCATTTAAACCAAAAGATACAAAATAATTATTAAATCCTCAGACCCCACCTGGGAAATACTGTCGTAATGATGATAAGGTGATGTCAGATAGGGATGATTTTTTAACTTTTTCGCCAATGGATTTCAAGCTGTGGAACACTGATGGAAGAATTCAAAGGTTGCCACGGAAAAATATCGCCAAAATTACGCAAAAATGAAAATAACACTAACGTCTATTTTTAATAGATATATTTACAAAATTACACAAAAGCTATCTTGAAATACTAAAGACTAAATTTATTCAATAAAATCGACATTGGCTTCAACCAGGGCCTTCGGAATCTTCGGCATTTCTTCTGGACAATCTCCTAGTTTAGTTGCCATAATATTGCCTTTCGTTCATCTTTGGTGTTACATGGAGTTTTGTTTGTCTCTGTGATACTATTTCGCTATGGTAATTGGCTAACTAATTAAGCATAAAAATTAAAAGCGAGAAATACTTCAGGCGAGAAAAAAGCTATAACGAAAGACATACTGAGCGATGTAATTTTTTTTTTAACAAAAGAAAAATGGGTAAAGATTTTATTTTCATTTGCGAAAAAAGGTATTTTTTCACAGAAGATAGAAAATTCGTAAGATCTCGGATCTGTCAGAATTAATTTATGCTATGACGCGGCGAAAAAGGCGGAATGCGGGTAAAAAAAGATAGGAATCTTTCCATGGCAATAATGAAAATTTCAATTTGGTCAAGAGGCTTACAAAGAAAGAATGCTAGAAGATAATCGAAAAATTGGGTCAAGCATGCGACCGAGAAAGAATTAGGTGAGACCACCCCAAAGAAAAAGGAAGAATAAAAAGAGAAAAGAAAAGAATAAGCCATTAACTATCTTTCGGAGATATCATTTGGTTTTTGGACCATCTGAGAACCATGCCATGATAAAAGTTTGTCACCTGGACAGGCTGTTAGCGACAGAATGCGATGATGTTGAGAAAGACAAAGAGATTTAGTTGACCACACGGAAAATAAGTCGGCGAAAATCCCATTAATAAATCCCAGATGACATCAAGTAAAGATAAAATTTAATGTCCACAGTACGATTCATAGGGGTTCTGGTGTCAAAAGAAAGAAAAAAAAAGGGAATAATTTTTTTTTTTCTTTGAGCGATAATTGTAAACTGAGGCCGAGCGTCTAGCCACACTGAGCATTGCCGAGCGTTCATTGGCTGAATGTTGGCGTGAGCGATGGGCGAAGGTAAACATATGAGAAAGAAGGAAACCTGTTGACGCCCTCTGAGGGGATTGGTGTGAGATACCAATATGAGAAAGGAAGAATTTGGGAGGATAATTCCTTTAAGAACCCCTCTAAACCAGAAAGTAATTGACTTCAAAAAAAAAAAGTGATAAATTTTCCTGTCAAAAACAAAGAAAATCCTTATTGTGGATTTAGAATTATCGAGGAACCCAAACCACGACAGGTCCCACCCGGTTTTGGTCGGCGTCTATATAAACGAAAGTCCCCAGAGCAAAAAAAAACAGTTGGATAAGACAGTTGGAGCAGAGGCAGAGTCACAGAGTTGAGTTGCAGTTGAGCTCTGAGCACGGAGACCAGCCTCGCAGGAAGCTGACTGAAAAGATTTCCACGCATTCCGACTTAGACTTCTAACCAAAAACAATTTTTTTTTGAAGAACGACTTAGACTCACACCACCAAAACAAAGTTTTACGAATATCGCCTGAAGATACCAAAAACCAGTTTATTGAAAAACAACTTAAGATATTAAGACTCGCCTAACAAACGCAAAGTGTCACGAATCCATAGAAGCGGTTTGGGAGAAAGACGCAGTCCTGTATTCAGCAAACAGATATAAAAATATTTTTTATTTTTTTTTAACACATTTGAATCTTTTGAGTTGTTACTTTATTTTCTTTTACATATACTTGTGCGGTATCACTTTTGCCCGGATTCAGCTTGTATT